AAATAGACCTGAGGACCAGCAGTGTCCCAATGGACCAGAATCAGGAAGAAGCAGCCCCTTTTAATTATACACATCAGGTAAGGCCATGTAATGTTCACTGAAACCAACACAACTAGGTCATCCTTGAAAATCTGAGAAATTACTTTGCTCAGGGGCTGATTGAATAAAAAGCCCGAAGCCACAGATGTAAAGGAATTGATTTTCTGAAAGGCAGATACCCTATAAACAAAAGATGTTTAAGCTCACATTCTAAGAAAGGATTTAGTCATTGGAAAGTAAGTTTAAAAACAGCCTCGGGATCTGAAAAATAAAGCACAACCATTTGCTTGTGGATTTGAAGGTACTCTGTTATTTCTCCTTCCTGATTTATCCATTCCATGGGCTTACACAGCTTGACTCACCCAAGTGCAATGCTAACATAAAATCCCTGTGACCTATAGAAAGGATTTTAAAAGGACAAACAAACAAAGAAACATGGGTAGAATGTTCTCTTACGGGCAGGGGCTGCATTTCTGAAACCCTTACTCCAGGCAGTGGTGTAGCAAATATTATCTTGTTTAGTCCTAATGACAATCTGTGGGGTCAAGGGGTGTTACCACCTTTCTAGAGATGATATAATGAGGTTTATGGAGGCTAAATAATTCGTTCAAGGTCACATGATTAATAAAGATGAAAGCAGAGTCTTAAATCCTAGTCTTTCTGCCTCCATAAGCTCTTAAACACTGTGCCAGCACATCTCATCAAACCCCCCTCAGAGTACCCTCCAGAACCTCTGCAGGTCAGAGAGGCTGCTTTTACAGTGTGGGTATGTATATTCCTGGGCCTCATCTCTATTTTCCAAAGGCAGACTACTCAGGGGCTGGCACTTACAAATCTGCATTTTTAACAAGGTGTCTAGTAATTCTTCTGTTTGCTAAAGTTTGAAAACCACTAATCCTAAAACAGGACCTCTGCTGCTAAGGAGAATTTCTTGATGAAGAGCAACTCTTGAAGAGATCAAAAAAAAAAGAAAAAGAAAAGAAAAGAGGCTCCCAGTAGTCTCTGGGTAAGGTTTAGGGATAATTAAAAGGGTTGGGAACCCTGGTCTTTGGAGTAAGAATTGCAAAAGTACATTTATCAATTGATGAAAGTCCCACTGCTCCACTTCCACAATGTAATTAAGGAAGAGACAGGTAAGTGGGGAGGTGGCTGGGAATGGTGGCTCATGCTTGTAGTCCTAGCACTCTGGGAGGCTGAAGTGGGAGGATTACTTGAGACAAGGATTTTGAGACCAGCCTGAGCAAGAGTGAGACCTTATCTCTACAAAAAAATAGAAAATTTCACTGAGTGTGGTGGCATAGACCAGTAGCCCCAGCTACTCAAGAAGCTGAGGCAGAAGGATCAATTAAGGCCAAGAGTTTGAGGGTGCAATGAACTATGGACACCATTGCACTCTAGCCCAGGCAACAGAGCATGACTCTGTCTCAAAAAAAGAAATTAAAAAAAGCATCATATGGCATTGGCAAATAGAGTCAGAGGTGAGAGCAGTTAGGGGATGCATGGTCCAACATCTCTCACTCACTCATTTTAGAGACCCAGAGATGCTAAAAAAGATGCTGAAGGCCACAGAGCTGGATGACGGCAGGATTCGGGGGCAAGTCTTTGGCTTCTCTTCTCCTTTGTTGCCCTGCTGCTTTATCTCCAATATACCCAGTATACCACAAATGTGTAGAAAAGGATCTGGCTATAGTTTAAGCCATTCCACTACTCTGGGGCCAGGGGGACACAGACCAACATCCATAGTTGGAATATGACACACACATAGCTGTTCATACACGATGTAGAAATGCCAATTTGTTTCACCCAGGAAATAGCAATTTTTTTTTCTCCTGAGGGAAAAAGGCCATTCTAAAGCTTCTGAGGGATAGCCCAGGTCCACAGTTAACAATGTTCTATCTAGGAGCAATCCACTTTCTGGCTCCAGGCCTTACACAGAACAGCTACAACTTCTGCATATTCATCTATAAGACCAGGGTGAGGTGACAGCATCAGTTCTCCCCAGAATCTGAGAGGAAGATGTCCTGGGGAGGCTGTCACATGGCTGATGTCCTTTCCTGGGGCAGCAAAATTCCCCCAGCTACCACCCTCTGCCAGCCCACCAGTTATCAGAAATGTCCCAATTATGTCACTCTGATATACTCAGCTTTAGCCATGGCTACAGCAGGATAAGCAGACTCAGGGACTCAGATTCAACCATATCTCATGGTGAGAACATAGGTGGCTTACTAGGCCCATCTGCTTTGGCTTATCCATCTGGAAAAGGAAGTATATTGTTAAAGCTGATACTCTCCCAACCCCACTGAGGAACAAAAAGCTTTGAAAGGGATAAACAAGCCATTCCAGTGTTTTCCAGATTTCAGTTGTATGCCACCTCTCTGACATTTACCATAGCTGCTAATGACCACTGATCCAGGCACCCTTCCCTGAACGATGATCAGGTGCAATGCAGACATGATCTGGTCCCATTATATGGATGTGGAAATTGAGAGTTGTAAGAAGTAAGTGACTTAGCAGATATCTACTCCAGCAGCAGGAATCACAAGAATAGGAGATAACAAAAATGAACTCAGTCTTGGACTAATTCTGGATAAGCATCATTCACAGCAGATTTTTGTCCTCAGAGAGTTTCTTTGTACAATCGTCATGTCAAAGGTTGGCTGAAAATTGAACAGGCTCTCAGTGGCTACATTCATAGGCAAACAGAGCACCCTTGTTTGTACCTACTGAAAGTTAACAGAGGTTGGGGGCCTACTGTAGCTGATTACTGAAGTATAGCCAGGAGTAGATGGAAAATGGATTCTAGAAGCCCTAAAGTTGCTCATAGTCTAGGGAAAGCAGTAGTACACATACACACAGCCAGTGCAACAAAGGAGAAAATGATGGTGTCTGGAGGAGTCAAGTGTGCCGTGGGAACACCATGGGACAAGAGGTAGCTTCTGTTGGGTGAGAAAGACTTGATGAAAGATAAGACATTTAAACTTGGCCTTTATGGTAGGCAAAATAATGCCCTTCTGAAGATGCTCATGCCTCTATCCCCAGAACCTGTGAATATTTTATCTTACACAGCAAAAGGGAAATTATGGATATGATTAAGGTTATGTAGCCTGGATGGGGAAATTATCTTGGATTCTTTGGGTGGGCTCAATCTAATTATATGAGTCCTTAAAAGCAGAGAATCTCTCCTAGCTATGGTCAAAGAGAAGCTGTGATGAGGGAAGAAGGGTGAGGGAAGGATGATGATGCTGGTTTTGAAGATAAAGGAAGGGTAACATGGCCCAAGGAATATATGGGCAACCTCCAGAATCAGGAAAAGGCAAAGGAGATTCTCCCCTGGAGCCCTCAGAAGGAAGCAGCCCTGCCAGCGTCTTATTTTTAGCCCAAACCAGACTCAAGTCAGACCTCTAATCTTCAGAACTGTAAGATGATGAATTCATATTGTTTTAAGCCAGTTTGTGGTAATTTGTTACAGCTTTGAGGAACAGGATGAGGTGATGAACAGGATGAGATGGACTGTGAAGTACAAAGTGGATTCCAGACAAAACAGCAGGGAAGATGGGTTTAAAAGAGTTGAGGATATAGGTATATATAGGGAACTTTCTCTGATGATAGAAATTTTCTACCCTTTTCCTCTTTAATGTGATAGCAATTAGCCACATGTAGCTATTGAGCACTTGACATGTGGCTATTGCAACTGAGAAGCTCACTGTTAAATTTTAATTAATTTAAAATTAATTTTACATGGCCACACCTGGCCAGTGGCAAGTATTTTTGACAGCACAGGCATAGAAAACATTAAGTCAGAGAGATTAAGACCCAACTTTCAATGTGCATCCCTAGCACTTAGAACTTTTCCATACCATTCGGTCATTTGATCTGTTCAATGACCCTATGAGATCAGAAGGATTATGGTGACCCCCATTTACCAGATGAGAGAATTAAGACACAGAGAACTTGAATAACTTGTCCAGGATCCCAGACTGGTAAGTGACGAGGTCAGGATTCAGTTTTTAGGATTCCAGGGCATTATTTGGATCCATAGCACTCTGCCAGGTCTATACTATGCCATGCGGTGCCTCTTGTCACCATGCTATCCACAACAGGAATTAGAAATGTGATGAAAGCCATGGGTGGAGAACTAGAGGTTCCCATGAGAGGCCAGAGAAGGTTTTCCTGGGGAAGAACATTTCCTTTGCGTTCTGAAGGCTGAGGAGGGATAGGCTAGGCAAAAGAAGGGAGTAAGGTAAAGGAAATCCCAGGCAGAGGGAACATTTGAGAAGGCTCAGTAGTAAGAACATGGGGTATTCAAGGAAGTGAATGGCACTCAGAGTGATTGAAATGGAAAGAGGAAGGAAATTCGTGTTAAAGGTTAAAGTTGAAGAAACTGACAGAGGCCAGAGCACACAGGCTCTATAGAGCACACAGTCTCTATAACATTCTGAATGTTATTCCAAGGATTTGAATGCTGTTCCAAGGATTCAAATGTTATTAAAAAATTAATATGCATACATATATATGTATACAAACTTTTAGAAAATCTTACATTTGTATAGATAATAGAGTGCATGTGACTAAGTTTAGATTAAAAGAATATGGTTAACTTCATCAATAATCATTATTTCCAATTTCTTAGTTCCAAATCCCTGAGGAATAACAGTGGATTTTTGAAAATATCAATTATTTTATATTCTTAAAATGCTTTCCTAAACTTTGGGTTTTCAAAATGTAGAGATTTCTATGTCCATTTTGAAGATGAGTGAATGGATTCTCAAAGAAGGGACATGATTTGCCTAAAGTCCCTAATGGTTAGTGGAAGAGTTAAGTCAGTTAAGAATCTATATTGCCTGACCCTCTTCAAAGATCCTTTCCAGGAAAGGTGGACTCACAGGGCCCTCAGCTCTGGCCAGAATCCCTGCTCAGGCCTTTCTCTTCTCCCTGTGGAATGGAAGAAAAGTGGCCCTTACCTTCCTGATGCCATCATGTTTCATTTCAATCACGTGGAGGGTGTAGTTGGTCCGGCGTCCTTTCTCATTAAACTGTACATTTCCCGTCAGACCTTCAAACCGCACCTGGAGAACACAGCCAAGTGTGAGACAATGAACCCAGAAGATGCACTTTGAGTTTGTTTTTGCTTTTTCTGCTGAAGTATTAAATTAATAGAAATCCAGAACCCAAGAATGTTCCTTGGGACAAGGTCTTGATGCAGCCTAAATGCTAAAGCTCTCTACTCCCTTGCCCAGGGTAAACACAGTACCAGATCATGGATCTCTTTTCCCATGAACTGGGATTCATCCTGAAAATTGTTTCTATCCATTACTTTAGGCAAAAACAGTAGAACCTCAGTAAGTTGACTACCCAAGTGACTATAATAAACTGGTCAACATATGGAGATGGTCAACAAAAGGAACTTCCCTCGAGTACATGTGGTATATGTCTAGTCTATGAAAATTAGGTCAACTTAAGGAGGCACTTAATGTACAGAGGTTGTTGACTATGGAGGTTCTACTATACTTACAATGGGTCAGAATGCAACTAATGTGAAATCTTTGTGCCATCTCTAATAAAACACCCCACTACATCACTGCTATGACTATCCCCTTCCTCAGACATACATTTGAAGATAAAGCAAATGAGGAGGCCTGCAAAGTAAAGGAATTGGTGTGCCATCACTAGCAAGTCAGGAGAAGACCCAGGGCCAGAGGCCTTATGATGCTTTGGACTATGCTTGAAAATGGTTTCTTAATTCCTTTTTGAGTCTAAGGAATAAAATACTTAGGAATATAAAGACTTGGATTTGACCACAGATTTTCCTTAACTGCCAAGTGACCTTGGGTGATTTACCTCCCTAAGCCTTCAGGTTCCAAAATTCCTGCCCTGTCTACCTTGAATGACAACAGCTTATGTAAAAGTGGTGTGAAAACTTGAAGCATCAGAGGACAAATGTTCAGACCAGAGCATTCGAGATTTTAAAGACATCACAGCTGGTTAAAATAAAATTTTCACTGGAGTCCCAAAATATGCTGTAAGAGATTTCTTCACATATGAGCCAAATCAAACTTCCATAGCCTCATATCTTCAAGTTTATAATAATCAAAGCCAAAGATCAACATGAGGATCCAAGACCCTTTGGGCCAGGTCTGCTGCTGCATAGGTGCCCAGTAAATGCCATGCAAGTCCACTCTCAAATTGAGAACACGTCTAGCTGTGCATCACCAGCTCAGGCCCAAGAAACCATATTCTCTGATGGTGACCTGCCATGTGACCTGATCAACCTCTTACACCAGAGAGGTGGGTCTCTATCAATCTTTTAGCAATGCAAATCCAAGACTGAACCAACGCTCTTTATTTTTACCCCCTTCAAATAATTTCAAAGGAAGCATTGCAGAATTTTCTCTTTTTCTGACAATGGCTAGCTCCTCTGTCTTTCGCAGGTACAAGAATAGCTGGGGAGTACGTGTATTTGAGAGTGAAAAAGAGAGAATGTGTGTGTGTGTATGTGTGTGTGTATGTGTGTGTGCCTGTTCAGAGGCTGACCCTCTTGTCACCTTCTGGTTTGAAGTCTCAGTGGGGAGGCATGACAGACCTAGAGCACAGAGTAAATTATACAACAAGCTCTTCACTTTCTTAGCTGAAATCTGGAGAAATCCCCAGCTCTGGAAATGTCTGGGCTGTCTTGGCTTTTCAGAAAGAAAACAAAGCACAGATCCTGCGATGAAGGATAAAAGGAGGGAGCAATTCCCTTCTATCAGCCACTTCACCGTCTTCTCCTTTAGCCTTTGCTTTCCTATTGGTTCACGTTCGAGATCAGGGTGTTAGGTTGGTGGGTGCCAGCTAAATAATTCATTTGGAAAAACAGTTTGGGCTTATTATTATTATTATTATTTTGCAGTTTTTGCCTGGGGCCAGTTTGAACCCACCACCTCTGGTATATGGGGCCGGCATGAAGGAGAGAAATGGAGTGGGAAGGGAGGAGAGGGAGGGTAAAGGTGGGAGCACACCTATGGAGCATATTGCAAGGGTACAAGTCAAATCTGTCAAGTGTAGAATATAAATGTCTTAACACAATAATCAAGTAAATGAGGTAAAAGCTATGTTGATTGGTTTGATGTAACCACATCAGATTGTATAAAAAAAATCAACACATTGTACTCCACATAGGCATAAACGTATTCATGATCTATGTTTATATGACTTAATTAAAAAAAAAAAGAAAAACAGACTGGGGTGGCTGTGGGGAGATGACTCTGGATGGTAGATTGATCTGCTCAAACAGAAAAAAGTGTCATTGATGATCTAAACGGGCATTTACTTTTTGGCCTTAGTCTCAACTATCATATAATTATCAACATGGCATATTAGTTGGCCAACTGCATAATTTCTCTGTGACTCAGTTTCCTCATTATTTTTATGGAAGCAATTAAAGCTAATTATGTCTTAAGGTTGTTTTAAGGATTAAATGAGATATTTTATGATCAATGCTTGGCCCATGGTGAGTATTCAACAGATGCCAGATGCTACTATTATTGTTACTAATAGTGATACCAATAATACCACCACTTTCCATATGTTTCGTGTTTGTGAAGCACTTTCCCACATGATTCCATCTGTACTCACAGGAACCCCCTCAGGTAAGCCATTTAGAGATTATGATCTTCATTTACATGAGAAAAGTCAAAACTCTGGGAGGTAAAGAAAACTGCTCAAGACTTATGACCAACAAGGGGCAGAGAAAGACACAGAGCTTCTGATATCTTCTGTCTTCACAGCTCATCAGCTCAGGCACAAGAAACCACATTCTCTAGTGGTGACCTACCCTGTGTCCCCAGCAACCTCTTGCCTAACGCCAGTCAGGGGTACCCACCAACGTAGTGGTCTCCCAAACACAGGCCCTGTGACTCTGCCAGGCTCCAGGTGGGCAACACGAAAATGCACACCAGCGTGTCTTCTACCTGCTTTCTTCTATTACTGCTGGGTGTTCCCAACATCGTGCTCTTACTCCTAACCATGTGGCCATGGGCTTGTCACTACATTTATCTGGTTTTTGGTTTTCTCCTCAAAGAACTGAAGCTCTTAGCGCATTGTCTGGGATAGAAGTGTACAATGCAGGGTTTAGATTATTTAGATGATGGCGAGAATGATGATGATGGTTACCATTACTGTCCTGTATAAAGTGGGTAGGAGATGTGAAAACTAAGAAGTTCCAAAATTGAGGTCTTGAGTCTGACACATTGCTTTTTTAGAATGGGGGACTCTTAGCAGAAATGAGGATTTCATCCTTGTTACTTTTATATGCTTTTTTGCAGTTTCATTAAGGCCAAGGGTCCTACCTGAAAAGTTCTAGTGACCTGAGGGCTCCTTGTATTTTTACGGTGATTCCATAAAAAGCTGCTTATCTGATGTTCACAGAAACCTAGTGAGTAGCTACTGTGGAGGTTTTGGGCCCATTTTATAGGTAAGATTATTGAGACTCAGAACTCACGTCACTTGACTCCAAGATTCACAGTCATTCTCTGAGAGGCCCAGGGCAATCTAAGGGTCTTAGTGTTTAGTTGGGGAAGCCAAGTTTTATA